CCAACCAGAAACTGTACTGCACTTAACACATCTCCATCATCTACAGACAACCATTTGCTGTGGGTTAGTGACTGCCATAAAATACAGAATTAGAAGACTGTTTTCTACCTGTTCCTGAAACAGGAATAAAGTAAGCAGATGCATCACTGTCTGGAATAACTGACAAACAGTCATCTTAAGCTGTTCTCTCTTTCCCTCTCTTTTATAGTGCATTTATGAATTATGTTGTTTGCATTTATAATTATGGGACTGAACAGATGGTGGAAGGCTTATTTCAGAATGATGTGTTCATTAAAATAACCTACTCTGGTCTGCCAAGTGATTGTTAACTGTAATCCCAGTTTGATATTGAAGAGAGTTATTTGTTCTTTCTCTATAAGTCCATCTGAAAGAAATGGAGCTTTGAGAAATAGATGCTGTATTGAGTGTGAAGCTACAATAGAGGTGCTGCACATATTCCAGATGGGAAACCACTGAAGAGTTTTGCAGCTGTGAGAGAAAGAAAAATGTAGGTATTGATAAACTGTGGACCAACACAATTTTCAAATCTAAGAAAATTACGATTCTTTATTCAATTTGGAAGCTCAGTTCCACCTAAAAGGTGGCTCCAGCCTGCTTCTACCTATGCACTAACTCTTTCTACAGTCTACTGTCTTAGGTAGTTGAGCTCAATAATGGAAGATTCCGTTATTAAAAATGGGATTCTCTGCTCAAGCTAAACTTCTATCTTCACAGTTTTCACATCTTACATAGTAACACCTTGTCTTGCTCTAGTCCAAACAAGCATTTACTGGGTGCTTCTGCAAATAACAAGAGGTTTTGTGATGTAACTGAGAGTGATCATCACCTATTTGCCTTCCTTCTTGGAAATCTTATTGTACCAGCTTCACTTTACCAGCTTCATCATCTTTCAAAGTGTGTGATAGATGGAGATAATCCTTTGCACTTCAAATCCTTTGCAGTATTTTATTTCTGAGATCTGCCCCACTATTTTCACATCAAGACTTCAGGATCTGGTCTGAACACGGATGAAAGCAGACACAGTGTCAAGGTTTCTATGTCAAGATTGAAGGAGTCTTTATTTCTCCAGTTCTGGCCACTAGCCAGGTTCTCATTCCTGGCCCTCACAGCTCCTTGTGCATGTGTCCTACCCAGGTTACCTCAAGGTGCCACTTGTGGTAGATCTTCTTCACCCCATGGGCAGTCCGAGGTCTGTGTTGCTGGGAAGCTGCTCAGAACCATAGTTTACAGCTCTCCTATGGCTGAAAGCTTTGCTCTTCTGCCCCAAAGCAATTGGCAGCACTTGTACCTGACAGCTGTGGGGTCATCAGAACTCTGCAGGCAAAACTCAAGAGGAAATAGTGAAGAATGAGATGCAAAGGTGCAGGACTCCTGTCTGAGCCCACTGGGAGCAGAACCAAAGGTGGGAGGAATGGGAGAGCAGTGGAAAAGTTGACTGTGTTCACTAAGAATAACCAGAAATATTAATGTTTTCTGGATTGCCTCTACAATCATTGTCATAACCTTCAAAGATGCAAACTGGCCGTACTAAAGCTGTTATTGAGAAGTTTGCTGGGGTCCTGGAGGGAGTTTCTAGTTGCATATGAAGGAAGAAATTTATTTTGAAATGTTTCATTTGGAGTGTTGACAATCAACAACTGGAAAAAGGAGAAAATTAGAGAGACAGGCAGATGAGTGCTTACTCATACAAAATTCCCAATATCACAGTGGTTAGATCAGTCACCTTGATAAAAGCCAGGAAAAAGGCCTTGAGCATGAACTGGAGTCTGCTCTTTTTTTCATTTTTTCCTTTTTTTTTTTTTTTTCTTTTCTGACGCATGGTAAGTTGCAGACTTGCTTCAGATCAGAAATGGGAAAAATATTTGAAACTGTGAAAACATTTAGAGAATGGGAAAAGCATTTTCTATATCACTCTAATTTTAGCTTGAAACTCGTTATTTTTGATGTAGCAAGTATTTATAATTGCATGTTTCTCAGATGCTCTGACCTCCCCTAAACATCCACTCCAACCTATTAAATCTCATAGTTCTAAACTAAATTAGCTTGTACATGTTTTTCAGGGCATGCATTGTCTTCTAAAGGAGCTTGCCAGAGCTCAGCACAACAGATTTCTGCTTTAGTTTAGACTACAGTGCGCTACTGTGTCAGGAAAACATGAATAGATTTAGACTTTTCAGAGTTTTGGTTTTGCTGAAATTTAATGCTTGGTTTAATCTGAAATCTTTCATTTGAGATGCAAGGAGTTGACAAAAAATATTATTTTAAAAAATAATATTAATAAAAATAATAAAGGACAATTCCCTCCAAAAAAACCCAACAAATTGCAGTGCTTTTAAATGAAAATTTTCATTTGTCATTTTTACAGATTTATTGCTTTTTAATTTTTTTTTAAAAGACAAATCCATAGAAACTGGCACAAACTCAGGGAAACTTTCAGTGACACAAAACATGTAGATTTATTTATTTTCTTATTCTCTCAAATTTTTAAGAATGTCACAGTTAAAACTTGCTCCTTGCCTGACTGCCATGCCCGAGTTCCCTCCATCAGTCCAGCAGGGAGTCACTAATGAACTGCCAGCAACAAAGCCAAAATCCCAGTTCAGGGATGTCCAAGGACCACTGTTCCATTGCAGTTAGAGGCAATTTTCTTGAACTGTGTGAGCATGAGATCAGTAGAAGACTCTCACAGGCTAGCACATCTGTAAAGTCACTGTTGCAGCCGGCGGTAGAGTATACTACAGGCTTCAAACAATTTAATGTGAACTGCTAAGAAGAGCACTTACTGAAAATAATTTGATACAAGGATTTTATCTCCTGTTCTTGCATTACCAGGGGCTATTTAGAAACTCCAGCAGTAACTATTCTGCATTTATAATATGAAATTTGCAAAAACAATGAAACTTCGTGCTTATCAGCTTTTGGTATAGTTCATGTCTAAACTTTCCCAGACTTTGCAGCCATTTGTGTACCCAGCTGAGACACCATGCACTGAGCTACCCTGGCAGAACCATAAATACACCCACCCGCCGGCTTCTGCAGCAACACTGACCTCTCGGTGTCTGAATGCGTGTGACAATGTGTCCTTCATTTTCTGGGCAGAAGGGGAGTGTATTTAGGTGGCAGAAGTCCCCGGGGTGCCGAGAGTTAACAGCTCTGGGTAACTAACACAGACACACACCCAGCCACACAAAACCAAACCCTTCCCAAGCCAGACCAGAGACAGCTGCAAAACCTCACCTCAGCCTCCAGTGAACGTCAAGACAACAGGAACCACCTTCTGCCAGTTAAAAAATTTAAGCAATTACTAATGTAAACAGGTGTATTGGGGAAGGATTACTAACCAGAGAGCAAAAACAGCTGAGCACCTACTGAGTGTTTAGGATGGGTCTGGCCCCCTCCACTAATCTGCCTTCAGCCCAGCTGAAAGCTTTGCCATTCTTGGACAGTTGTGGGCATATATTTTATTCTTTTTTTTTTTTTTTTTTTCTCTGCTATTATTATGACCCTCTAGCTAAAATTATTTCTCCTGACAGGGTCAAAGGGGCAGAAGCTGCTGAGGGAACACTAAGCCTGCTCTTCAGAGGCTTTGGAAAGCGCAGGAGATGCTACCACACAAGTCCTTTAGTCCATTAGTGATTCAGTGGTAGCTAGGGTAGGCTGTCTTTGCTCTCTGTCAGTTTGTTATTAATGACCAGTATCTACTAATGTGATCCAAACCCTCACAGAGTTTCTGTACCTGCGAGACTCCCCTTGCCCTTCACAGCAGCCACCAGGATTAACTGCCTGCAGGCTGATGAACTAGAGTTTGCAGGGAGTTTAGGGAAGAAGGATGGATATGAGTGTTCAGAGCAAGGACTATGATCAAAACCAGGGGAGTAATTAATGGATAAAACAGCTGCAGAACTGCAAGCTGTGCTTTCCAGGCACTTCGCTGGTGCAGCAGAGCCATGGGCATGTGTAATCAGCGTAGGCAGCTTTACACAGATACTGCAAGCGTGAAGGGCTGGTAGGAGGCATTTTTGGGAAAGAGCAGATACCTTCCAATTCCCTCTGTTCCCTGCTGCCCAGGAGACCCCAGGCACAATCTCCAGAGAGGCTCCCTTCTGGAAACTGGACTAGTGGCTGTGAGCTGTGATTGATGGATGGCCCACACACCATCAGGGTATTGCTTCCCCTCCTCCCGCAGAATTTTGTGTTCAGAGCCAGGAGCCCTGCCCCAAAATTGCCCTGCTTTCTGCTTTTCAGCAAGACAGGTGTGATCCCGGGGACAGAGCTGGATGCTGGGAGTTTGCTCATTAGGAGAGGACTAAGCATGGACCTCAGGCTCTGTGAAAACAGGCACTGTTTTTCATTATGGTTGGGGAGGCCAAAAGCCAGCAACTTTTTGTCTTTGCTTCCTCAATAAATTGTACAAGTTGGTGTGGGGGATAGCTATGCAGGGAATGAAAGTGGGAAGATGACAAACAGACACTACATCCCCTTGCTGTTTTCTCCCCAGCTTTTGCCAATTTCCCAGAATAATGCTGGAGCTTCTTGTTCTGGTCATGGGTCTACAGAGGGCAAAACCACATAGCTCCCCTCTGCTGTGCTGAAAGCTAATCAAACCAGTTAATTAACGAGTCCATTGGACTGTCAGAAACAGCAGGAGATGCAGAAGCAATTATCTCCAAATTGGTCATCATCACAATTAAAATACCATTTGGCAAGTATGTGAGTAGCCTGCAGCAGGATCCCTTTATAGGTGGTAATGCATTTTCATTATTGGGTTTTATTGCAGGGTGGTGGCGTTTATGATCTCAGTAAAGCTGTCAGGTGAAATGACAGTAACACTCGCCCCCAGCTCTGGGAGGAGTCGGATACAGAGGGCAGAGGCAGCCTGGGATGCTATTTGTAATTGAGCTGGGTGGCTTGACGTGCCAGCGTGTACAGATTCCAACAAGGGAACTCATTATAGGCAGGAAAGCTGAGCAACTAATTTGTTGCAGATAATTTATTTAATGCATTTAAACAGTTTAAATTCTTTTTCCTGCTCACATATTGTGGCTTCATGAGATGTATTCATTACTCAAACCTGCTTGATATTTTCCCTTGATAAATTTCTCTTGAAGCATTCAGCCCACACATGCAGGGTCCGAGTGTTGTTTTCTTCTTTGTGGTGGGTTAAGATAAATCCCATGGTGCTTGGCTTCTCAGCTGGGTGAGAGCTGAGGCACATTAGGTGTGCGTTCCTGTAGGTGAGGCAAAAATGAGTTTCAGGTGCAGCTGTGCTTTCTCCCTGAAACTTGCTTCCCATAGATACTAATGCCTGAAAAATTAGTTGTATTTTCAGAGAGCAGATCAGTTAAGATGTCATGGTGTGAAAAAAAGCAGGGCTGTTATAATCCTGTCCTTTATCCATCAGTAAATTGGTGCCCTGTAACTGGCAGGTAGCTTTGAACTTTCACTTGAAGGGAAAAACTACAGTATGTGAAAACAATCCTGGTAACACAAAAGCCTGCCAGTGGAGGACTCCTTTAAGAGTTTCCTGAAGATGTTGGTAAGGTTTTTAGGAATGATGTGCCAGTACCCAGAGCAAGCCATCACCCCTGCGTGCAACTTTTGCACCCTGCATACAAATGCTCTTTCCTCCTCTCCTACAGTCCTCTTTCCCCACAGGGTAAACAGCTGGAAGTGCTGAACTAACTGCCAGAGGCTTCAGACACTTTGTGCCACAGGGATCCTCGGACACCTTAATGACTTCTCTTTAGCTTAATGCATCTTTGTAACAAACGGCATCACCTGCTAAACTGCTGATCTTGCACAACTGTTTTCTGACTCCTGCAGAAGAAGAGGAAAGGTTTGGCTCTTTGGATACCCTGTATGAAGTCAGCTTTCAGTGCCTGTCTGTTGTGCTTCTGAGCAAGTCCCAAGCTGCTCTGAACAGTGTCTGCCTTGTCTGCAGAGCTGGGGGTCTCCTGGCTCTCATCCTCTGTGTCACAGTTTGTGGCAGAGGCTTTGCCATGCTAGAGGTTTCTTTGGTGGAATCCGTCCCACAACGTGCTGTGTCTGACTTGGTCTATAAAACTAAAATTACGCTGCGATTTGTATGCTTCATGGTCATCTAATTGGAGTGTCTGTTCAGTGTTAGATTCAAAATGTCTTGTTTCTTACATCAAGTCTGTATCTTGTTGGTAGAACTAGTACATTTTTGAAATTTACGATCATTATTTAAAGTGATAGAGTGCTAAGGGAGTATGTTCAGTGGGTATATCTGCACATACGGTGACCTGTATTAAGGCAACGAAGCTTGACCATGTTGAAAACCAGCATCTAGTACATTAGAGGGTAAATTCCTCCAGGAATATTCACCAGGGCAAATTCGACAGGTAGTACAGTTTATACCCTGGCTTTCATTTTGAGTCCATGGCTGATCTACTGGAACTAAGGGATACATCATTTGTAGGATATTCAGATCATCTACTTCAGACATTTCAGTGGCATTGTAAGCACCGTAATTAGGAGTCCAAGTTCCAGGTATACTCAGTGGAGAAAAATGCATCCAGATTAATAATGCCAAGTAAATTGCTGTCACAGTATCAGTTTTTTAATATGTGGACAATGAGAAGTTCCTGACCTTTTCTCTAATGATTATTCAGACAAGTCCTGAGGCTGATAGTACTTCTCTTCCCTCTGCCAACAGCAGGAGAACTGATATATTCTTCTATTTCCTTAGGCCTTTTTCTTTTTTTAATCTTTATTGGGATGCAGGTATTTCAAGCATGTCTTGGATGTTTGTTACTAAGAGAAATAATGTATCTACATCTCTAAAGACTTGGGAGAGGAAAATCTTAGCAGAGACTTGATTTCCCCAATATGAATTTGGACTAGGGAAATACATATTTTTACAGTTATTTTTGCAGCTTCCTACTTCTGGATGTCCTTGAAGCATGGTTTGATTCAGCTTTAGTTTAAATTAAATGGACTGCCAAGGGAAGATACCTGGATTGCTCTTTACCCTTCAGGGGGTTTGCAAGCAAGAATGATTAGATGTGAAATTCTAGAAAGATGTGCTAAATCAGTTTTACTCCAGTTAGCCAATATTTTTGCTATCAACTCAGATCCGCTTATTCCTACTAAGCATTTCACACCACTTTGGGAAAAGAGCTGCATGTCATTAGCAAACTAAATCAACAGTTCTGTTCAGAAAGCCATGTGGAGATGGGCAGCAGGAAATGGGCTGGTAGATGAGGCACAGGGTAAGAGATAATGTGGAATTCCTTACAACTGAATTCTGCTTTTCCATATCTGGCCCAGAGCCTGGAAAAATATCAGAAAGGTATATACATGACACGATACCTCTGAAGGACATAAAACCTAAACAGCAGTGGTTTGATAAGACATACTAGAATTGGCATTAAACCACCTTTGCAAAAGACTACTTTCTTTTGTAAGTGGAAATGCCCTGAGTTGTTGGTCTTGGTTTCATCTTAAACAACATTCACTTCCCAGACTAGTCTCAAATGATTCCTTAAGTGCTTGCATTGAAGACATTAACCAAAGTGCCTTCAACTTAGTCCACCCACAGATAATCAGTTCTTTCTTAGTTCTTTGGTCTGGTTTCCTCCCATTTGCAGCTGCACCTTAGATACATGAAAACCAACAAGTTCTTGTTTTTCAGGGATTGCCTTGTCTGTGTCAAACTGAAGATTTGGTTTCCTGTCATGGGGTGAAGTAGGGATTCATATTTGCTTAATGTGGGATCTGGATATTTGGAAGATGTACTGTCTTAAGATGTACTTCAGGGTTTTCAAGAACTCAGTTTAGATAAGCTTATCCTTCTAACTAGCACTAACAAATCTTTTTCTACTCCCAGATACACTGTTTTACGTAATGGCCATCATCAGGAACATGAGAAGCTTCCCATCCACAATGACCCTGAATCCCAAGAGTCCTGTTTCTAGCCACTGTACTAGAAGAGGAATGGCCCAGCTGAAGGAACAGATTTCTTTTAGGATACCCAAAGGATTCATGGACAGCAGGACTTTATGAAAACTCATACATCTGCACTGTCATGGTGCCTCCTGCACTGACTTCATATGAATATCCAGCTGCATGTGTGTAGATTGATGGGAGAATGGGAAGGAACATGGGTGGAAAGGTTATGGAGACTTTCCTGTATCTGCAAGGACAGTGGACTATATGACTCTGTCAGCCTTACTCCAGGAGTGAGCTGATTTCTGTCAATGTAAGGGAACAACACAGATACAAGCCACTCAGTGCAGGGTCTTCTGTTACTACTTTCCAGTTGCCATCTGTGTACAAGCCACCTCTCAGTACTGTGATATCACGATCTTAAAGATTACAAGTTCTGGTTAAAGCCCTAACATGATGTAAGACTAAATGCCTGCTTTATCTGCACCACATCCTGCCTTCCGGTGACCAGATGCTGTCAGGAGAGAAACACCACTACGTTTTCTTCAGCAAAATAAGAGGAAATGTTTGCTATTTGATTATAGTTACTGGTGAAATGTCAGCATGAGCTGCTGATTCGCCCTACCCTGCAGAGCTTTCTTTGTAAATGCTTTTCTTGTGTTTCCTGGCCAAGTTCATTGGTAGAAGACTCATAGGGTGTATATAGTGCCTGACAAGGTGGAGTGGGACCTACAGAGACATTTCACTGCTAACAGGAGGTCCTGCAAATGCTGCTTCAATCCAGCCCAGTCGCTAAAAGACAGAGGCCACCCTCTGCCATTCGGAGGCAAATGGACGGGCTGTGGCTCCCAAACCCCAGGCAAGCTGCCAGTGCTGTCCTCTTCTGAGCAAACTTTGGGCATTCTTACCAAGAAGAAAGGTTGGCCAAGAGACAAAGTCAGTCTGTAATAGATCACTAAGTGCCATCTTGAAAAATACACCATCTAAAAGACTTTTCTATCTACATTGGAAAGACAGACTTCTACTTACATTTTCCGTCTTTATTTTTCTATTTGTTTCTTTTCTCTTCCAGTTGAGGCAAGAAGTTTCAAGACTTTCAAATATCACCATATGCACATCTCTGTTTGCATGTAGATGTTGCTACATTCCTTGTGAGCTGCTTCCACATTTGCATGGAAAGGGTAGGCAAGACTGTAGACTTCGAAACTTTGGGAAAATGCAGCGGGAAATATGCAGGATCAAGACTACAAGCCTCTACCCTTTTTAGATGAAGATCTAACCCAGAGATGCCACCCTGAGCCTAGAAAATAAAAATGTACTTTGTTATATTGAGTAATCATGTACAGATATTTTTAATGTAAAAAGAAAAGGTGACATTATTTATTATTTTTTATCAGGAACATGTGGGTTTTTTCATGAAAAGCTTCTAGACCCAGGAGCTTAACATTATATGTAGTATTATTTAGTAATATTTCTGTTGCTATGTGACAGGTATTTACTGTAAACAAACAAACAAACCTGTTTTGAACAAACAAAAATGTTGCTCGGTAGGGAAAAAATTTGTGCATGATAAGAGCAACTGGTTTCCTTGCTATGGTATTTGACTTCTTTAAAAACTTCTTCCACATAAAATTCACTATCAAGCTTCATATCATGCTCCTTTAGGATTCAAAGGCCACTGGGCAGGAACAGCCCTAATTAAAAGAAGCCAGACACCGATGTAGAAAATCGCCAGCAGTTAGAGAAAAAACTGTTGTTGTTTATGGTCATAGGTGTGGATGGGAAGAACATGAGCTATTTGAAAAGAGAAGGTGAGATAGTTTGAGCCAATTCCAGGTTCATCATTAGGAATAGTGACCTGTTTTAACAGGGTTGTGTTTCCAAAATAACTCATTATCAGTTCAACTCTATTGTTAACACCAAAACAGAACAGTGTGTGAAAAAAATTGGCCATTATTGAAAGTTTGGAAAAAATCCATCCAGGGCTGCTTCAGTCCTCTGATTTACACCTCCGTGGAACTGCTCACATGAGTTTTTGTCTGGATTTGGGTATGCAAGCCTGCAGAATGGGTTGTTTTGGTTTCACCTCAAGTATTAAATTTCCTAAAGAAATCCTGTAAAAGCTTTTCTCTGTCCCCATTAAAAGGTGTCAAAGTATTGGTATGGAATTTCTCAGAGTGATATGGAAACAGCAGCATGGGGATGCTATAGCGATAGTATTGTTTCCGCTGTTGTCCTTGAAGTGTTGTTTTCTCCTGTATTTTTATGTGCTATAGTAATATATCTCTCCTTAATTTAAAATGAACTTCTCAACACTGAGTTTTATTCACGGGCAGTGTTCGGAAGGCTCTATCAATGAGATCAGTAGCTCACTAGCCAAAATGGTCAACAGCTCCAACTGGAAAAAATGCTCCAATTCCAAACATTGTATTTGAATGAAATCCCAAACACAAAATGTCTATGTTCTGTGTCATCCCTGGCTAATTGTTCATTGGACTCAGTAAACCTGTCATGAACCACCTGGCAGCTCCTGCTTAATAAGTCAATAATTTCAGCAATGCTTCTGTGAACCAAGCAAGTGACATTGTCCATCATCAATACTGTTAGAATTTCTATGGAAAAGAAGCTGTCTCATGGAAAGGACCTGTACTCGATTTCCTTTGCTAAACGTAGCTGCTGCTGTAGCCTCTGAGTTCATCTTCTCATTGACCATTTTGGCTGGAAGTGTCAGAGTCTTTGCCTGTGCTGAATAATGTGTAACACATTGGCTGTTTCTAAAAATAAAAAATTCTCTGTGTACATTGCAGTAAACTCCAGCCCATGCTAATATCTTGTACTGTTTTCACTCAAAACATAAGATGCCAATAAGTAATACTTTCTACCTGCCTTGCAATATACTCAAAGAGCTCTAACAGCAAGGGAGAATCTGGCCCCATTCCTTTGAAAATACCAATGAGCTCTTGGGTTATAATACAAGTTCCTAACATTTATCTACCAGAACAATCCTGCCTCCTGTACCAAGTTCTCATGCACTGGCGCTCTTTCCCTCCACACTTTTGCTTAGATTGTTACTGAGCCCTCTTTCTCCCTTACCTTATCTCTCACTCTCTACACTGAGAAGTCACTGCTCAAGGCAGGCATTTGCAAATGGGGAGTCAGATATACTTTTGTGTGGCTGTTTCTCTGAGTTTCCAAGTGAATTTGACCAAAAAAAGTCTCCTTTCTTCCTTCCTTTCCATCTGTTTCCCGCCATCTCTCACAGATTTACCTAATAACCATATATTTATTTCTTCACATAAATATACTAGTACTCATCAGCAGATTATCACACCACCACATTCCTGGTCTGGGAACACTTTACATTTTTCTGAATGCAGTAAGCCTCTGAAGTGTGAAGCATAATGCCTGCTGTAGTTGTTTTCTTGGATTACAACTGATAACACTTTTCCTTGCCAGAGGTAATGTGCTAGCAGAACAGCTAGCTACTAAGAAATTGGCTAGCTGGACCTTTGCTAAACTGTCTTCAGGAGGCTGCTCTGTCAACACAGTTGTATTTCCATATTTCTGTATTCTTCTAGGCTCCAGAAGCATTTCTGAGATCTTGCATGACATTTGATAGCAGGGCATGTGCCCAGACAAGCAAATCCAAAGTTGCATTGAGGTTACTTGTGCTGAAAGAGAGATGCAGAGCAACAGGCTGACTACTTCCATGGGCAGACTGAAAACCTAGCCTAACACTAGAACTGTGGGCCATCTGACTTTAAGTGGGCCCTAGACAGTGTCAGGGTACACACCACCATGAGATAAGCCATCCTTTCTACTGAGCAGCTTTCCATCTCTCTGATACTCAGTTTACTCAGATAGAAACTAAGTCACAGTCATGCTGCAAAGTAAAATTCGGAAACAAAAACATCACCAATGGGGAGCCTTGTTCACAAAACAAGCTCCAAGGAAGAGTGCAGAAGAGGCCATACACTTTAATTAGCTGATGATCAAGACTGGAGGGATGTGAAGCAATAACTGGGTGATACACACTATGTAAATGTCAGTGCTTGAGGCAGCCAGCAGCTCTGTTGCTTAGTGAGATGTATGGAGATACGGCTGCAGCCCAAGTGTACTAGCAGGCCACGCTCATAAACACCATGCAGACAGATGAAACCTTATGGGGAAGTGTCCCTTCCACATTTATCCTTCACTGTTCTTTCAACACTGAATATATTTTCAGTTTTTAGTCTTGGAGAGGGCAATCAGAACAATTAGAAAATGCTTTCAATAAATTCTCAAAACCCTTTTCATTTAGTTCAGAAATGTAATACATGACCTGCTCCTATTGCAGGATCTGATGCCTGTCTAAGCACAGTAAGAAATGAAAACATTTACCACAGTGGCTTAAAAATGAAGCAATAGCTTCCATTTGCATTACACCAAAGTACATTGCCTTTGTGCCTACACTCCAGTTGTAGTGTATTAGCAAAGCTGAGAAGGGGCTCACAGTGAGAACAGAGGGAGTGACAGTGTTGGAGCTGAGGGGTATTTGTAGAGATACGTGAGAAGCCCTTACTCGCTCTTCATCCACATAGTGCCTGGCTCCAATCTAAGTTTTCCACATTCAGCTTGTTTGAAGGCTAAATTCCCTCCTGATCTCAGTGTAGAAGTGTATGCTTCAGAGAGGCCATGCACATAGTGTGCACACGCGGAGGACCCGAGTGGAAAAAACAAACTCAGCACACTGAAAACCTCTTTCTCAATGCTCTGTTCTCTGTACATTTCTAGTCACAAGCAGATGGCGGGGCACGCACAACCACCATTAGCTTACAGAGATACTGTCCTATTAATAAGTTTATTTCATTACTCGTTATTTCCTTGCAATCCTAGGAGCCCACACCTTGGCCTAACACATCAACCTGAAGGAGTCCCCGTTTGAGGGTCACTGTGAGGATCTAGCTTGCAGAATGAGCGCCATCAAAATGGACTCACATGAGCAATGTTATTAGGATTGTCCTGATTTTGAGCAGTATGAATCCCTGGCTCCAGTGTCTCTTTCCTTTTGTAAATTCTGGTCCTCTGTGAGTCTCTGTTATAACAAAAGACACTTCAGGGAGAATGTACATTGGAAATGTGTTAGGTAACCACTGAAAACTTGAATATGAGTCAGAGCTGAGAGGGTTAAATGATATTCACCTTTCCTTTGACTTCAGCACATTTCAAAATGGCTTTTATTTTACCCTGCCTTCTTCTACTGTGCCTTAAATGGGATCTAGAACTCTGTGAATAATGAGTAATAGTGTGTTAGTTGTACTTAAATGCTTTTGTGCATCTCAAAATACCTCTCAATTTAGGTATTACTGACAAATATCTTCAACGTAAAGATCATCTGACAAAAGGATTGTGACTTTTAGAATGGAATACACTCAAAAATGGATCTGCTCAGCAAAGCTGAGGAAGAATCAAAAGGTATTTAAGGTATTTATTGGTGTCAGCCTGACTTAATAGTGGGCCACAGAACTAACCAACTGGGTCCAAATCGTGTCCATTTAATTCCTAGCACAGATGAAAATACATAACAACGTCAGTAAAATGATGGTTTCTTGGAGCAGGCAGCCCACATATGGCAGACTCTGAGTCATTCTGAAGAGTTTTCCTCACCAATCTTTGTAAACACTAAAGCCAAGGAAAGCATTTTCATTCTGTAACTGTCAATTGTAAATCATTCAGTAGTTTAGGATCCAATCTTTTCCTCTGCATTAGATTTCCTGAGCCATCTCTGAGTACTATCATGCCAAAAGGCAATAAATCTGTTGGGTTTTCCTACTAATATGAACTCAGTAAAAATACACAAAAGCTTTTAGTTCTTTCAATTTAGGTATAGCTTAAATCTTTCTGAATCCAAAATAATTACATATTCACTCAGCATCCTATAAAGACTTATCACAATAACTTTTTTACCTAATTAAAAAAACAGATAATTTAACTAGAATTTACCCAGTATCTAAGTTCCACCACTTCCTGTTAAACTGAACTGAAATTGCTTCTCCTATTAGGAAACCTAGTAGACTTCCTGACAAATATATGTTTAGTACTTAAAGGCTTTTCAGAGATTTGGCAG